AGATAACAAATCTGTGTAAGTTAAAGGATTTGTAAAACTCTCAAGTAAAAAGCCAGGGTTTGAATTCAGCCTCCTGACTTTGCACAATAAATTCTTTTACTGTATCGTGCTGCTTCTCAACGTGAGTGGTGATTATTAGATTACTTTTTTCTTACAACAAAAGATCTTGAAGGACTTTGGAGATGATCTAATCCAACCAAGTTATTCCACTTACATGTAGCTGGATGCTCTAGCTCACCCAAGATTATAAAGTAAGTTAGACGCCAAATCGGACCAAGAACTCAGGTCTGAAGATTTCCAATTCAGTTTTTCATGTCTTTTGGAGGCAGAGGTAATCTTTTTATTAAATGGTAGAAGGATGAAAAAGTATAGGAGGAAAGTGTTCATAGGAAATTAACTATTAAACTAGACTCAGCAAGAACACTTTCCTGATCACGTGTGGAGGGAGCTACACTGATGAAACAATTTTATACAATGGTTTCTGAGTAAGTTTCTATGAGACTTTTCCAGGCGAAACAAATCTAAATATGTCCTGATAGAAACCTGAGTGTTCGTTTCTCATCTCCCCTCAGGAAAAGTCTGCGCATAGAGTTTCTTTTTAAATTCATGGGACTGAAACTCCGATCATCTTGGAATGAAGAAAACAATGATGAGAAATTGGCTCAAACTGGATAGCAGAATTTCAACACTTAAAGAAAGTGTTGCCATCCACGCCTGGGGTTAAAAATCTTTCCCTTTCCCACACCCTTTCTCATTCTCCCTCAAAACCCTTTACAAATAAAACCCAAAGCCAGTCGCCAATATGAATTGAGCCCTTCTCACAGGGTACTCTTTCTAATTCTCCCAACGGCGCGTCTGGTTTCTAATCAGCACTGGGGGTACCCGCGTCTGGGGTCTACCTAGTCCTTTTCCAGCCTCATTTTCTCATGTCTCCTGCTCTCCCCATCCTCCGTTTCCCTTTGAAAGAACAATAATGGAAAACATGGCAAAACCCAAAAGAGACACCAATATATTCATTTCCTCCTCTGGCTTCGTAGAACTCTTTCCTTGTTGTCTTTTTACAACACAATTTTAGGGTTGGAAGGGACTTTTA